TGCAAGATCTCCTTGTTAAGCCAAGCTGGTCTTTTGCCATATTTTCTATCTTTCCTACACAGCGGAATTGTTTGCTTTTGGGCCCTTAACAACGTCCCTTTGAAATACTTCCAACTCTCCTCAGTTGTTTTTCCCTTCAGTCTTGCTTCCCATGGGACCTTACCTACAAGTTCTCTGAGCTTATCAAAATCTGCCTTCCTGAAATCCATTACCTCAATTGTGCTGGTCTCCCTTCTACCTTTCCTTAAGATCATGAACTCTATTATTTCGTGATCACTGTCCCCTATACTGTCTTCCACTTTCAAGTTCTCAACTAGTTCCTCCCTATTTGTTAAAACCAAATCCAGAACAGCTTCTCCTCTGGTAGCTTTTTCAACCTTCTGAAACAGAAAGTTGTCTCCAATGCAGTCCAGAAACTTATTGGATAGCCTGTGCCTCGCTGTGTTAGTTTCCCAACATATGTCTGGATAGTTGAAGTCCCCCATCACCACCAAATCTTGGGCTTTGGATAGTTTTGTTAATTGTTTAAAAAAGGCCTCATCCACCTCTTCCACCTGGCTAGGTGGCCTGTAGTAGACTCCTAGCATGATATCACCCTCGTTTTTTACCCCTTTTAGCTTAACCCAGAGACTCTCTACACAGCTATCTCCTACGTTCATCTCCACTTCAGTCCAAGTGTGTACATTTTTAATATACAAGGCAACCCCTCCTCCCTTTTTTCCTTGTCTGTCCTTCCTGAGCAAGCCGTACCCTTCCATACCAACATTCCAATCATGTGTCCCATCCCACCAGGTTTCTGTAATACCAATGATATCATAGTTGTATTTATTGGTTAGCAATTCCAGTTCTTCCTGCTTATTACCCATACTTCTCGCATTTGTATATAGGCATCTAAGATACTGATTTGATCTTGCCTCCCTGTTGTGCCCTGACCCTCCTTTCTCCTTGCCATTATAGGCCGTAGTCCCCCCCATTTCCAACCCATCTCCCAGTCCCGCACATTCAGCACTTACCTGTGGGCTTTGCTCACCTGCCCCCGACAAACCTAGTTTAAAGCCCTCCTCACAAGGTTAGCCAGTCTGTGTCCAAACAAGGCCTTCCCGCTCCTGGAAAGGTGAACTCCATCTCCGCCAAGCAGTCCTTCCTGGAAGAGCACCCCGTGATCAAGGAAGCCGAATCCCTCCTGGCGACACCATCGTCGCAGCCAGGCATTCACCTCCAGGATGCACCTCTCTCTGCCCGGGCCCCTACCTTTGACAGGAAGGATAGAAGAGAATACCACCTGCGCTCCAAACTCCTTCACCCGTACTCCCAAAGCCCTGTAGTCACACTTGATCCGCTCAGTGTCACACCTGGCAGTATCATTTGTGCCCACGTGGATGAGTAGCATGGGGTAGTAGTCAGAGGGCCGGATAATCCTCGACAATGCCTCCGTAACATCTCGGATACGGGCCCCTGGCAGACAGCATACCTCTCGAGATGAGCTGTCAGGGCGACAGATGGGTGCCTCTGTTCCCCTCAGAAGAGAGTCTCCAACCACCAAAGCTAGACTTTTTCATGATGTACCTATAATCATGCGAAGTCATATATTAATGCATATACATCGTTAGTGCTATAGATTTTTGTGAATTTTCTTCAGCTCTTCTTACGTTACTAACTATTTTAGACAAGCAGGTATATGTTTACTGGTATGTAATATGCCTGAAAATAGCAAATTAGTGGATTTAGTCCTATACCAATTTTTAGAGTCCTGTTGGGAAAAACAGAATACAGGATAATGCATCTACACATTTTGTCCAAATCATGTAGGGTAGACCAAGATAGAAAGCAGTATGATAATTTCTTCCAAATTGACTGATTGCTTCATTTCAGCTATGGGTGGGCTAGGTGGCTGGAAAGATACTTAAGTACCAACAACTTTGTAGTTATTCTTAGAACATATATGTAGGAAAGATAACCTTTTCATTAGTTAGAAATTTTCTTTTGTCCATTTCAGTTACAATAATGTATTTATTTTCAACAGATGTTTCATAAAAGATACTGAAGATAAGTCTTGAAAGACCTTGAGTAGACCCATATCATTAGACTTATATCACTGACATGTTTGTTAACTTTTTTCTTCTATGTATATACATATATTAATTTTGTCAAAGGACTTCTTCTGTCAATATACCAGGAAATAAAGAATTTGAGATGTTGCCTTTTATGTTTCATAACCAGTACATGACATCACTTTTTTGCTTGTTTATATAATTGTTACATTAGAAAGTATGAACAAATTGTCACATTTTTATTAGGAACAACTATGTATGACAGAGCAAAATTTATACATGCAGTGTACTTGTAGCCAAGTCAGACCAAGGATATAAGAGAGACTAGGTGGATGAGGTAATATCTTGTATTGAATTGATTTCTGTTGCTCAGAGACACAAGCTCTTCAGCAATTCAGCCTTGTCTGTCAAAAATTGATATAGATATTTATCTTGCATCAAATGTTCTGAAATTTCCTCTGTCTTTTAAGTTTAAAAAGAGAGATGCCTTAGTAATGGCTCAAGGAACAGCAAGAGGGAGAGACTCTGAAAATTCTGTCTATTATCTGTGAATAAATAAACCATCAGTCAAATGCCTTACTGGTACAATTCCATTATAGACAATGGAGTTAAGCCTGGGATAAATTTGGCCCCACTTTGTTTTTCATTTCAAAGACTCCCTTTCTTATACTGTCTTAATGCAGTGACAAAATATGAGTTGTATAAAGCACTAGAATAGTGCAAGGTAGTGCATGGGATTGTAGGACCCATATATCCTTCTACCTCTCTCCGCAGTTATGTGGGTTCAGGAGAGAGAAACTCCTGGCTGAAGCTAGCCATAAAGATGTCAGGCATGAGCAACAGGTCCCTTAGGGTATATCTACACTGAACCGTTATTTTGAGATTGCTAGTGTTATTTCAAAATAACAGTATGAGAGTCTACACAGCAATTCTGCTATTTCGAATTAAATTCGAAATAATGGATGGCTTATTCCAACTTCTGTAAACCTCATTCCACGAGGAATAACACCTATTCTGCAATAGCTATTTCGAAATAAGGCATGTATAGACGCTCCAGTGCTGCTATTTTGAAATAGCCCCTCACCAGGGCCATTCTAAGTTATTCTCCCCCCAGTGCCTCCTGGGGTTCCAAAATCAAGATTGCACATCTCAGACTAATTTTGAGGCATCCCTGCAGTGTAGATGTGCTATTTTGAAATAAACTATTTCGGAATAACTATTCTGGAATAAAAGTTTCAGAGGGGTAGATGAGTTAGTCTGTAACAGGAAAAACTTAAAGTCTTGTAGCACTTTAGAGACTAACAAAACATGTAGATGGTATCATGAGCTTTCGTGGGCACAGCCCACTTCTTCAGATGACTGGATTGTCCAGAACCAAGAATAAATTAGGGAAGGGGAGGGGAGAATAGCTTATTTCGAAATAACCGTGCAGTGTAGATGAACCCTCAGAAGCACCGATGGTTGTCATCATGCTCTATTTTCCACAATTTTAACTCTGAACACGCTTTTCCCTCTGTTGTCTGGCTGGAGCTGCTATCTATCTCCTGCTCCCTTTTTTCTCTTCACTCCATCCTTGCTTCTTTCCTTTCCTACCACTGGTGCCTACTTCCCCTCACTGTCATTTCTTTATTCCAGTGCTGTTCCCTTTAGTTAATTCCCTTCTTTAATGACCTATGACTTACAATGGGCTGAATATTATTTAAAGAAAAATAAACAACCTTGAAAATGATATGCAAGTCAAACTATTCTGTCACCCCTATGCTGTTTGTGCACTATCACTCTGTGTAAATTTCTTTCCTTTGCTATGAGTCTGACATGTATTTAGTCTGTGAGTGCTTTTTGTTTAAGATAGGGACTGTGATGTAGTGTTTTGCACAGTGCTAGCACAATAGGACCCCGGCCTTGGTTATGTGTTCTAGATATTCATTCACTGATTTCTGTGAATCTTTTTTTATCTGTTTTATTATAAATGAATGTTCCAGTCTCTTCTATTTACATAAAATTTCTCTTCAATTAAGTAGAGGTTCATTGTTTGCTTCATGACCATCCATTTCTGAAGGTTTTATAATAAATTATGTTCCTATATTATATTGTCTGGCATAAGGCAGTAAGATTAATGTGATATGGGCAGAGGACACACACAGCCTTTCTGGGTTTAGTGAGGATATGTCCTGCGTGACTTTGTGTTAAGGAACAAGAGGTAAGCTGTGAAGGCTGAGGTTTTTTGTTTGTTTGCTCTGCCATATTTGTTTGTAGGATTTTAAGCGCTATGCTTTTTTGTTTCCTCTTCTTTAAAATGTTAAATAGCTAACTCATAGGGAAGTCAAGGCTAATTTTGATTATGTTTATAATGCTGTTTGAAAGCCTGAGCTGGAAAGTGTGATTTGAAATACAAATTATTTTCTGCACCCAGTGAACTAATTTGTAAAACTTCTTTTTGCCATCACCTAATATTTTATACTGATTTGTCAGCAACCTGTTCTGAAAATTTTGCCATTGATTCTTGTTGGTGACAATGTGTTTGGCACTGTACAATAGACTGAAGACATGACTCTATTCCAAGTAGCTTACAGTTTCCTAACAGACAGCATAAACATCTGATGAGAGAGCCAGAGTGAGATACCAAATGTGAGAAACTTGAGTATACAGTATTGGTGTATTGCTTGGGGGCGGGGGAAGGAGGGGAAATAGCACATGAGCACACTAGCACCCACCAATTTCCAAAAAATCACCAAAGTCTTCACATTTAAAACGTTACTGTGAGAAGGCGGGAGTTGGGAAAGTATTTTAACTAGTGTAGTTTTTAGCTGTCAGAAGTAAGTTTTGACTTATTTTTTTATGTCTTCCCTTTTACATATATGTATATTTTTTTTACTTAAAAGTGTGTTCGTGGTGATTAGGAGTTTGGACAGATGTTGAAAAGATAGAATTTACAATACTTTTATTCAGTTTCAGGTGCAGTATTCCATATCACACACCCTTGTTTTGCTGGGAAGGTGCAACCTGTTAAGAAAGTCTGTAATATCTCTGCTGTTATCTGAAGTAAATCAATTTGCTGATGAGTTGCAGCAAACCCACCAGGTACTGTTCTGTTGAAAACTGTATGTTATCTTGAAACAAAGTAAACCATAATGCCTATTTAAATGGTATTTTAATACTAAAGCTCTGTTTCAATTTCTTAATTTAAAATAACAAAAATCCACAGTATTTGTTGACTTTCAGATTTAAGCATTTGTTTTTTACCAAGTTTCTGGATAGTTTTGAAATTTTTAATTCCACAAAAATAGTATGTGAGGTTTTTTTAAATGAAAGATCAGCAAATTGAAATAATTTCCAAACTAGGACCAGGTCTCAAAATACCTTAAGAATTTCAGATATGCACTCAGTAGACCTCTTATCTACTAAGGTCTGATACCTATGTTGGTCTCATCATGCTGTAGAAAATGTGCTGGTAGTGACTGTGGTCGATCTTTTCTTAGTAATCCAGGGGGTTCAGTGATATATTTTAAATTGATCAGCTGTCTCAACTATCTTTTGGTATTGTGGAGCACAAGATATGTATTTATCCATGACTGGATTGTTCTTGAGCAACTTTCTTTCTGGAAGATCTCAAGGGCATTTTTAAAAAAATCTGTGGCTATTGTTCTTGTATGTTACCCCACAGATTCCCATCTTTTTACCCTTTCTGTTAAATTGTACGCGTGGAGCTTATAAGAACTTACTGCAGAAAAATGGGTTGAGAAGCCTTCAGAATGTTAATGCTGAATTCTATCTCTCTTTTCTGTCACTACTGGTGCAGCAGAGCAGTTTTATAATTAGCCATGGACTGTGAGATTTACCTAGCTGTAGAGGAAATAGTTAATGCAGAACTGAGATGATAATTGTAGGGGTTCGGAAGCAACTGAAATACATGGTAAAAAATACATGAAAAACATGGTAAAAAAAGTATCCCTGGACGTTGAAGAATGCATACTTGCAACCTAGGAAATTTTAGAATACCCAGGTAGTTATGGTTCTCAGATGTGCTTCTCAAGATCTGGTACTGACAGGAATGCTACATTCTTTCCTTTCAGAGATGGCTTTTGCTTTTGGTTATCTATCTAAAACAGTGGTCCCCAACCTTTAGAGGCTCCCGGGCACCCGGGGGCGGGGCCACTCACGCGCCGGGCGCCCGGGGGGTGGGGCCACTCATGCGCCGGGCGCCTGGGGGCGGGGCTGCACGTCCTGGGGCACGCCAGGGGCGGGA